GTCGGCCAGGATGGGAGAGGAGAGCACTTGGCCTCGTATCCAGGACTTGGTTAATGTTGAGATTTAGGACAACACTGGGGGCAGGGAGAAGATGCAGTCTGGGCTCGTAACCCCAGGATGAGATGAGAAGATGGGATATTTCATCCCAGCCCTCATCTGGAGTTAGGCCATGATGGGATTAGGGTTCCCATCTGACAATAAGACTCAGAGAGAAGAAATCATTCCTTCAGGGTCATGTGGTTAGTTGGTGGGAATGACACGAGAGTGTATTGATCACTTACTCCAGCTACTTGGGCATGGATGATGATCATAAAATGTAGTCTGTGGAAGAGAGGGATCCACAAATTCTACATATTCCCTCTGAAACATTACACAGCAGTGAAAGTGAATATTACCCTGTGCTAAGTAAAAGAAGCCACACAAAAGCCACAGGTGTTGTCTGATCCCACCTATATGAGATGCAAATCAGCCCCCTCTACTTCTGGGTTCAGTGTCTGAGGATTCAACCAACCATGGATCAAAGCCAATGGAAAAAAGCTGCATCTAGACGGAACACAAACAGACCTCATTTCTAGTCATTATTCCTAAACATATAGTATAAAAATTACTGACGTGGCATTCACATTGCATGAGGTATTTAAGTCACCTAGAGGTGATGTACAGTGTATGGGAGGGCGGGAGGGGGTGAAGCATAGTGCCTCGTGGCAGGATGACATGGTGGAGGAAGCTGCTCACTTCATGAAGACCAGAAAGCAGGGAGAGACAGGAAGGGTCCAGGGTCCCAGTATCTCCTTCAAGGGCACTCCACAGTGACCTAACTTCCTCCCACTATGCTGTCCCTCTTAAAGTCTCCACCACCTCCCAACATGCCACAGGTTACTGATCAAGCCTTTAGCATATAGGCCTTTGGGGGACATTAGGATCCAAACCCTAGCCATGGAGCACAGAATGCCCGGCCTCCGATGTGCTCAGCGTCACCCAGCTGCCTCCAGGGTGGTCATGCCCACGATGTCCCCACCTGTTTCTGCATGAGAATCTCATGCATTGGAGGATATTTCCCCTCTGTGATGTTGACCAAGCTGTAAAGAAGGTAGCTCCTTCTAGACAGTAGAACTCTGTGTTTCTCCATAAAAGGATGGACAGGGGAGATTATTGTCCTCATAACAATCTTAAAACGTAACCCAAGGTGCCCAGAACAAGATGTCTCTTCATTTGCTTGAATATAAACTGCACTCGGGCTGAGTGTGGCAAGAGAGAGAGCTCTGGAATGTCAATTCTGTGATGGCAGGGACCTAATCTATCTCGCTCGTCACTGTCACGTCAGGATACAGCAGGGTGCACCTTCGGTCATTCCCTTCACTTGCAGCTGCTTATTGGATAACTTCGAGACCTCAGGCATCATTCACTTGCTGAACGTATCCTAGTCTGCTTGGGCTGCTGTAACGAAATACCGTTGACAGGGTGGCCTGTAAACCACAGAAACTTGCTCCTCACCGAGCTGGAGGCTGGGAGTCCAAGGTTGGGGTCCAGCACAGTGGGGCTCTTGCAAGGGTCTTCTTCCAGTTTGCAGACTGCTGACTCGTGTAATCTCCCATGGTGCAGAGAGAACTGCCAGCCCCCTCAGGACTCCTAAAGGGCTCTAACCCCACCCACGAGGAGCCCACCCTTCATGCCCCAGCCACCTCCAAGGCTCCTCCTCGTAACGCCATCACACTGGAGAAGGTAGCATCACACTGAGCTACGTCCCCAGCCCTTTTTTATTTTTATTTTTGAGACAAGGTCTCAGATTTGCCCAGACTGGCTTCAGACTTGGAATCCTCTGGCCTCATACTTCCAAGCAGCTGGGATTACACGCACACACCATTTTACCCAGTCTGTCTGAATAGTTCTTTTTATTAATAAGAGATTACAGGCTGGGGTTGTGGCTCGGCGGTAGAGCCCTCACCTAGCACGTGTGAGGCGCTGGGTTCAATCCTCAGCACCACATAAAAATAAACAAAATGAAGGTATAGAAAAATGTAAAAAAGAGAGAGATTTCATATGTAACCTCATTGTCCTATGTCTATACAGTTTTTATTGAAGCACAACATTTTAAAGCTGTAATTATTCTATTTTTCCATTGCTATAACAAATGCCTGAGTTGGGTACTGATAAGGAGAAGATTCATTCATCACATGGTTTTGGAGGCTGAAGGTAGAAGATCAGGAGGCCTCATGTGTTCAGCCTCTGCTGAGGGCCTCTTAGCAAATGGCTTGTGGAGGAAGCTCTTCAAAAGGGAGAGATCACACGGTGAGATAAGTAGAGACTCAGGAGTCAGGATCTCTCTTTTTTTCTTTGTAGTGCTGCGAATGGAATCATGTTATGCAAGCGCTCTAACACAGAGACATTTTTTACTGTTAATTATTTTGAAACAGGGTACCACTAAGTTGCCCAGGCTGGCCTTACCTGGTTTGCAATCCTCCTGCCTCAGCCTCCCAAATAGCTGAGATTGCAGGTGTGTTGCCTCACCAACTCTTAAAAACACCACACTGGAGACCAGGGTTCCAAAACTTGAACCTTTGGCAGAGAAATCATGTCCAAAGTATCCTGGGTATCAGCTGTGGCTGAGGGAGCGGAGCAGCTGTGCCATAGGACATGGTCCAAAATCATTCTCTGCAAAATGAAACTAGTCAGGGAGGGAATCGAGATGATGAAATAAGTGGCTACACTGGGACTGCCTCAGGCATGGCAGCAGAGGACTGAGACAATATTAGCATAAAGATAGAACCTAACTAGTTATGAAGATCATGAAGACTTTAAATGGGTAGCACAAAGTGCAAGAATTTGATGAATAGCTATTATTCCTGTGCCTCTTGTATGTTCTCATGGACTTATTTTTAAAGGATTAGACTCCCCCCCTTTTTTTTTTCAATCTGTATTTATTTTAGTTGTAGGTGAACACAGTACCTTTATTTTTATTTTTATGTGGTGCTGAGGATTGAACGCAGGGCCTCACATGTGCCAGGCAAGCGCTCTACCACTGAGCCCCAGCCCTGTAGACCCCCCCTTCTTAATTGGAAATTGTGTGTGTGTATGTGTATGTGTGTGTGTGTGTGTGTGTGTGTGTGTGTGTGTGTGTGGTGGGTATAATATGGAACTTTCAAGTGATTTTCATCTTGAAAGAATTTGTGACTCAATGAGAAGTTGCAAAAAATGGCAAGAGAGTTTGCAAGAACCCTTCACCCAACTTCCTACAATGATAACATCTTACAGAACAACAGCTTGTTAGTAGCACCCGAAAACTGTCATTGGTACAGTAGCGTTAGATCAACCTCAGATTCGAGCTGGCAGCTTTTGTGTGTAGTTTTTAAAAATAGTTTTTGAGATAGGATCTTACTGCCTTACCCAGGTTTGTCCTCCTGCCTCCTGCTCCCGAGTGGCTGGAAGTACAGGACATGCCACCATGCCTGCACTGTCTCTCACATTCGTGTGTGTGTGTGTGTGTGTGTGTGTGTGTGTGGTGTGTGCACACAGTTTTATGCAGCTGTATTGCATGTGGGTTCGAATGACCATATCGGAGTCAGAACACAGAGGGGCTTCAGCACCGCCCTGTAAACAAACTCCCTCCTGCTGCCTCCTCCCAAACCTACCCCTGGTCTCTGTCACTCATCACGATGATTTTGTCACTGGAAGAATGTTATATAAATCCCATCTCGAAGCATTTCTGAGATCGCCAGGTTCTCGTTCCCCATGACGTCCTGGAGATATTTCCACATGGCGGAGGTGGGAAAGCCACACTCATTGAGTAGGAGGCATACTTTGAGTTGTGAATCTGGATCTTTCCCTGGGCTGTGCGTGGTGGCCCGCAGGAACCGATACCAGAGTGGGCCGTGTGGTGAAGCGGGGGTGTGTGGCGGGTGAGGCGGGCTCATGGCATTTCTGCTTGTATTTTCAGCCTACAGTGGGGTTATCAGGACGTCACCCCTTCGCACGTCGAGGGGCATCTGCATTTGGAGTGTGCAGGCATCACCTTAGGGAGAAATCTGCACCTTTAGCTCACATTATCCCCGGGTCTCCTCCAGCCCTTCGCAACCACTAATCTGCTTTGTTATCTTTTTTTTTTTTCTTTTTTGGTACCAGGGATTGAACTCAGGGGCACTCGACCACTGAGCCACATCCCCAGCCCTATTTTATATCAGGGTCTCACTGAGTTGCTTAGTGCCTCACTGTTGCTGAGGCTGGCTTTGAACCCACGTTCCTCCTGCTTCAGCTTCCAGAGCCGCTGGGATGACAGATGTGCATCTGTCAACATTGAATGAAATGCCAAGATCAACAGCAGGGTGGGATCCACAGCACAGGATTGCTGGGCTCAGCAGAGCCAAGAGGAGGCCTCCCTGGAGGAGGAGTGTTTGTGCTTGTCTTTTTTTTTTTTTTCCTGCTCTTGGGTTCTTGTTCCTCTGTTGCCACCATCTGGAAATGGCCTCACCACCTGATTGCCCTGTGTTCCCTTGTTCTATAGTTCAGACCTCCAGGACTCCCCTAAGCACATGCCCTGTCTTTCCCTGTCGATCCCAACACCTGCTCTTGGCTGCCCTGTGCCCTGGCGGCTCGGCCCCAGTGAGACAGGTGGGCGCTCCAGCTGTTGCCCTTTCTGCGCCCCGCCCACCTAGGGCCAAGCTGCGCTCTTTTCCCAGCAGAGACACGTTCCCAGGAGGAGGAAGCGCAGCTCACCCACAGAAACCCGGTCCTGCTTTTACTTTGCTTTATTTTTTCCATTTCATTTCCTGTATTTTACTATATCATCCTCACACTTTCCTGAGCGAGGTGGAAAGAGCCCCAGCTCAGCTCCGCAGACCCTTTGCGCAGCCTCCCTGAGCCCCTCTGAAATTGGCTCGCTGCTGGGCATGGGGTGGGTGCTGTAGGAAAGGCAGCCAGATGGGGACAGGCTGACCTGAAGGCACAGGGTGAAGCATGCTCGGGGGTGCTCTGGTGACAGAGGGGTACATTCCTGTGCCTCGCAGGAGCGGTCGAGCTGTCCCGGCGCCACCCGGTGGCCTCCTGGATGTGTGCCATGCTGCACTGTTTTGGGAGTTACATCCTGGCTGACCTGCTCCTCGGGGAGCCCTTGATTGACTACTTCAGCAACAACTCCAGTGTCCTGTTGGCCTCAGCTGTCTGGTAAGCCATCCAGGATGGGATGGGGGAGAGCAGGCCGGGGACAGAGATGACCCTGCACCAGGGAGGTGGGAAGCAGTAGGTCAGAGGAATCAGGACCCACTCACCCAACCTGGGGTGGCCCTGAACACACTGCCCTCCGTGCCCAGCCGCCCCGAGCCTGGCAATGGGAAAGAGGGCGTGGACACTTCTCCCGTGACCCCATGGCCCGCCCCTCCCCCAACACTAGACCTTCTCTCCCCAAAGGTACTTGATTTTCTTCTGCCCCCTGGACCTCTTCTACAAGTGTGTCTCCTTCCTGCCTGTGAAGCTCATCTTCGTGGCCATGAAGGAGGTGGTGAGAGTCCGCAAGATCGCGGTGGGCATCCATCACGCCCATCACCACTACCACCACGGGTGGTTCGTCATGATCGCAACGGGGTGGGTCAAAGGTAAACAGGATGACAAAGACAGTGAAGTAACACCCCAGTTGGCACAGCCATGGCTCCAGGCAGGAGTCCAAACCTCACCATGAACCAATTCCCAGTCAATAGGTGTGTGGCCAATACCTAATCAATAGCCAATTCCTAGTCAATAGGAATCACTGACAAAGCAAGTGACCCTAGAGCAGGGTTTCTCAGCCTTGGCACTGCTGGCATTTGGGTGGCTTATTCTTTGTGGCAGGTCTGCACTGTGAACTATAGGAGTTTCAGCCACATCATGGCCTCTCCTACTATGTGCCAGTAGCACCCGTGCCCAGTGTGGGTGACCAACGATGTCCCAGACATTGCTAGGCACCTCCTCGAGAGCCATGTCACTCCAGGTGATCACCCTTTCTCCAGAGCTCGGACCAGGGGCCTTTGATCTTTGGGGACCACAGTCCTTTCTGTCAGCCCAGTAAAGTCTACAGACCCTTGTAATGTTTCTATTTTTTGTTTATTTATTTATTCATTTATTTTTGATACTGCAGATGGAACTCAGGGCATTATGCTAGGCAAGCTCTCTACCACTGGGCTACACTCCCAAGTCCGATGTTTTCGTTTTGTTTTGGTACCAGGGATTGAACTCAGGGACACTTAACCACTGAGCCACTTCCTCGGCCCTTTTATTTATTTTATTTGGAGACAGGGTCTCACTAAGTTGCTTAGGGCCTCACTAAGTTGCTGAGGCTGACTTTGAACTTTCGATCCTCCTGCCTCAACCTCCCAAGCTACAGATATATTACAGGTGTGTGCCACCGTGTCTAGCCCATTGTATGTTTTTAAGTGCATAAAATAAAACATATAGGCTAACAAGGTAGCTCATTATTTTAAAATGCAGTTATCAAAATGATTTTTAAATTCGACATCTCAATTTCATGCTTCTTTATTAATGCAGTAAACAGCAGACTTTCCACTAGCTACTAGGAACTATTGAACTTTTGAAGTGATTCTAAAACCATTTGCAGCAACTGGAATGTGGAAAGAAAAAACAGCCATGAATTTGGGTGGTGGCTGAAGGCCTGGAGATGCTGCTGAGACCACTGCCTCCCTTCCCCATGGAAGGAAAGGCAGGTTTCAGTAGGAGGCTGTGAAAATGAAGAGTCCCGCCCGGTGTCTTGGACTCCAGGTTAAGACTCCCGATGCCGGACGGGTTTTGAGTTGAGGCCTTTGTGTGTCTTATCTCATTTGTTCCTTAGGAGCCTCTTTTAGGAGCGAGCAGCCTCAGCCCCTTTTGCTGAGGAGGAAATGGAATGACTTTCCCAGGGCCCCACAGCTAAGAGGTACAGCTGGGTTTGGCTCCAGGTCCTGTGAACCCAATGTCTGTGTTCTTAATTTTTTTGAAGTTCTGTTCCCCTCCACCATCTATACTAAAAGGCAAACCCAGATGAACTTTAAAAGAAAAAATGGGACTGAGGATGCCGCTCAGTGGTTGAGCCCTTGCCTAGCAAGCATAAGGCCCTGGGTTCAATCCCTAGTTCTGGAAAAAAAAAGGTTGCAGAGATAAAGAGTGACATTATTATAATGATAAAAGGGTCAGTTTACCAGGAAGATACAATTATAAACACATGCCCTTAAAACAGCACCTTAATATCTAAAGCAAAAACTGACAAAACTAAGAGAGAAACAGCTTAACATTAGTAACTGGAGAGGTAAACCAAGGAATAATAGGAATTTAAGGAAAAAAGACGTGAACGTGCAAAAAGTCTCTGGCCACTTTATCCCGTTTCCTGCCTGTAAAGAGTCAGTGTGCAGGGGCTGGGGCTGGGGCTCAGTGGTAGAGCACTTGCCTAGCATGTATGAGGCACTGGGTTCGATCCCCAGCACCATATTAAAAAAATAATAAAAAATAAAATAAAGGTATTGTGTCCATCTACAACTAAATTTTATATATTATATATATATATATATATATAATTTTTTTTTTTAAAAAAGAGTCAGTGTACAGGGCCAGAATCACCCTCCATTCAGCCATGGTGTCCTGAGTGTCTCTGACATTTGAGGCGGGGTCGTTTCTTGCTGTGGGAGATGTCCTGTGCACGTAGGATATGGAGCAGCATCCCTGGTCCCAATCCACTAGATGCCAGTAGCATCCCCTCCCAGCTGTGACAACCCAAAGTGTCTCTAGACGTTGTCAGATGCCTTCTTGAGGGCAGGATCGCCCAGATGAGAACCTCTGGTCCAGTGATATGTATCAGGTGCCCCCTTTGACACACTGGTTCCTGGAGTGAGTGTGTAAGCCTCTTTAGCCAATCGGGCTAGTGAGAGGATTTTTTTTCAGTAATGTAACCCTTGCGTCTCCACGTGAGTCTCCTTATTCTCACCCCAGGAAACCGCTACAGAGCAGACCCCAGGATTACGGCAGGTCTAACAGAGGCGGGGAGACTTGGGAACAGTTGAGAACTCAGAGCCTTGAGGAAGAGAGAGGTCGGGGTGGAGGCGGGGGTTCCAGAAGCTTCATGCGCAGCTGACTGGAGGAGTCAGGTCGAGAAGGCCTAAGACCACCTTGGTGGCACGGGGGCTGGGGGTGGGGGCACTGATTCCTTCACATGGTTTTGCTGGAATGTGCCGCACAATCTTTGCAAGGCTCTGGCTCTCTGAGTCTGTTTTCCTATCTGCAACTGATGGTCAGGCCCATTGTCCCCTAATGAAGTGTCCAGCAGCAAACAGGTGGCTTCCTTGGGAATTTAGACAGGAAGAAAGGGAGATGTGGGATGGCTGGCTTGTTCACAGAGCCCTTTCCCGTAGGCTCTGGGGTCGCCCTCATGTCCAACTTGGAGCAGCTGCTCCGAGGAGTCTGGAAGCCGGAGACCAATGAGATCCTGCACATGTCCTTGTGAGTACCCCACGCCCGCCCCGTCCGTCTATCTGTGTATACAGATGTCCCACTCTAGGTGGATACTGTTGATAACTTAGAGAAGCCTCAGCCCCTGACATTGCCTTTTGGAAGTTTCCAGAGGCTATGTCTGGGGAAACCCAGAGTGGGAGCCACAGCTCTGCCTAGAGCGTGGGGGCAGGAAGGAGATGACCTTTGATTTGGGTTTTGAAGGGTGAGTAGGAGTTTTCTGGCTAAGAAGGAGCCTCTGGCCAGAGGCCAGCATCTCTACCAACTGTCAAGTCAGAAAACAGCAGTGATATAACCAGGTCTCCAGGGTCAGGTTGTGTATGTGAGGGGGACAGAAGGATAGAGGGCTTGGGTGGGAGTGGGGGGCAGAGCATGGGTGGAGGGACAGCTAGAGCCAAGGAGAGGGTGGTGAGCAGGACCAGACAGCAGCGTCCAGCACCCATGCACCATGGTACATTTGGCTTAATTTATGTTTAAAAGAAGTAAAACTATAGTCATAAAAATAAGACAAAACTAAAAGACTCACTCACAGGCCAGTGAAAATCACCTCCCATTTCATACTATGAAAAAAATGGCTTTGCTCCCCCCCTCCCCCCGCAAAGTTGCTTCCCACCCCAAGTTCGCCAACAGCAAAGTGGGGTCCCAGAGCCCGTGTGCGGCTTGTTCCTGAGTCAGCAAGTGCCTTCCTCTCTCTCAGACTCTGTTTCTGTCTCATGAGCTGAGTCCTGGGTTCAGGGGGTTCCGTGGGGCCACACATGTAGGCCACTTGGTCCTGGTCCCTGATGGTGCTTGGGAAATATCATCCAGTGTCGTGGCAGATGTTCGTACTCTGCGGTGGAGAAAGGAAAGCGAAGAAGAGCTTGTGTTGTAGTCGCACTTTCAGGGGCCAGTGGGTGAGCTGTTTGGGGATCCCTAAGAGGATCCTGAGTTTCATGGGTTTGCTAGAAGGACTCACAGAACGCAGCCAAGCTGTTATACGCAGGGCCACAGTTATTACAGCGAGAGGGCATAGACACATCAGCAGAGGTAACGGCAGAGTCCAGAAGATTCCAGAAGATTCCAGATGGGAGTTTCCAGTTGTTCTCTCCCCGTGGAGTCACGTGGACAAACTTAATTCTCTGAGCCAGTGTGTGACAACAGGCATGGTGTACTGCCAACCAGGGAAGCTCCCCTGAGCCTTGATGTCCCCGATTTTTATTGGGGCTCAGTCATGTAGGAACTGCCTGCTGAGGGCCTTAGTCTCCACTCCTCCCTCCAGAGGTTGAGCAGATACCACGCAGCCCAAGACACCCACCTGGAATCGTATTGTCACCGTCTGATATGACCCAAAGCAAAAAAAAAAAAAAAAAATTCCCACAAACAAACAAAAAAAAAAAACCGACCTGCTTCCCTCCACACCAGAAAAAGAAAACCAAGGTGCTCTGAGCATCCAGAGTTTCAAGGGCTTAGAGGGCATCTCCCAGGAGCCGAACAAAGACCAGATCTTTCCTCAGGCCAAGTTAACCCACCTGTACAGAGAGGTGCCCCTTGATCCTCACCCCCCATGCAGCGTCACACTCCAGGCTGGGGTGGGGGCGTCTTGGTCTTGCGGGTGCCTCCTGGTAACGACAACTGCCCCCGCAGCCCCACCAAGGCCAGCTTGTACGGAGCCATCCTGTTCACCCTCCAGCAGACCCGCTGGCTCCCGGTGTCCAAGGCCAGCCTCATCTTCATCTTCACCATGTTCATGGTGTCCTGTAAGGTAAGCCCTCCTCTGCCCGAGGCCTTCCTGCATTGACCAATGTGCCCTGAACCTCCTGGGAGATGGGAGGGACCCGGACACTCCCAGTCTATGTGGCCAGAAAGGACCACTCAGGGAAGCCTGCCCGTAGGTCAGTGGAAGGGGCTCTTCAAGGTGCAGTGTCCATTAGGTGGGGTTCCACCTGTTTGCAGTTCCAGGCCAAGGACGGGCCTTCCCAGGCAGAGGGTTCATCCTGGGCAAAGGCCGAGGGAGCTCTAGGCACGGAGAGTAGAGGCCCACAGAGCTGCCAAGGCACCGTCGGGCCATCCAGAGCTGGCTGGACCAGGAACGATGCTGGTCTGTAGGATCATCCCGCCCAGGAAGGGTCTTCGGGGCCACACTGTCCTCTGTCCCAAGGAGATGGGTAACTCTGCAACTGTGTCCCCAAAGCCTGGAAGGCCTCAGCTCAGTGCTGTGTCTCCCCCTCAAAAGGCAGTGTGCCGAGTCTCCCTGCATCGGGAGGAGGGCAGGAGGGAACAGGGCTGAGTCTTGTTCCACCTGTTTGCAAGTCGATGCCAGGCCAGTGTGTCGGTCCATTCAGGCAGCTGGAGTAGGACACCAAGACCACGGGGCTCTTCACAGACAGAAATGTGGTGCTCAGAACCTGGAGGCAAGAAGTCCAAGACCAGGGTGCCAGTATGACTGAGGGCTGCTGAGGGTCCTCTTCCCCATTGCAGATGGCCGAAGTCTCAGTGTGTCCTCACGTGGTGGAAGGCCTGGGTCAGCTCGCTGGCCCTTTTATTAAGGCACTCATCCTCCACATGAGTGTGTGCTCTCATGGCCTAGGAACCTCCCGGAGGTCTCATCTCCTGAGACCATGACCTTGGTGATGGGGGGGACACACTGGAACCTTGGCATCTCTTGGTGCCCATGTGTGGAGGGAACTCATGTAGATGAGTGACCAACTGTCCCAGTGTGCCCAGGACTGCCCCAGCTTGGCCACCGGAAGTTACGCATCACTAGGACACCGGGTGGTCGGTCACCCTCCTGGAGGTGCATGCAGCCTTAGGGCTGGGCCCTAACCTGACCTCATTGACCTTCTCTTTTCCCTCCTTTCTCTTCCTCTGGCTTTGCTTTCTGTCTTGGTCCCTCTCTGACTCTCGCTGTCCCCTGCCACCCCACCCCAGGTGTTCCTGACAGCCACTCACTCCCACAACTCCCCATTTGATGTCCTGGAGGGCTACGTCTGCCCTGTGCTATTTGGAGCAGCCTGGGGAGGTGACCATCACCATGACAACCACGGTGCATCTCATGGCGGTTCCCATGGTGGCGGGCCAGGTGCCCAGCATTCCGTCCTGCCTGCCAAGTCCAAGGAGGAGCTGAGCGAGGGCTCCAGGAAGAAGAAGACCAAGAAGGCAGATTAGGGGGTGGCCCAGGGGACCCATGGGGCACCAGGGGTAGGACCAGGCCCAGGACCCTCACAGCTGGGGGTCATCCTGAGCTTCTTGCCCATCTCTGGGCCTTGATTTCCCCATCTGCAAATTGGGGCCATCAGCTCATCCTCCAGGGCTGAGGTGGGGATTAAATGAGATGACGATGGACTTTTATAGGAGTGGAGGGTCCCTCTCTCTCTGTCAGGCCCTCTGTTGAGTCACAGCTTTTTTAGGGGCACACAGAGTCCCGGTAGCAGCTCCAACTAAAAATCCTGGCATTTAATTCTTTGTTCTTTATTTGGTTTTGTTTTTCTTCTCTGAAATTGCATCTTGACTCAGAGAATTTCAAGCCATGTCAAGACTTATCCTTTTGGTGGACATTTCCTAAGTACCTGCTGTGAGCCAGGTGCTGTGATTTCAAAGTCTTCTTGCCCAGGCTCCTCCAGGCCCAGAACTTTCTGGCTCCTGCTGGGCATCCCTGGGTAAGTTCCTTCCCTTCTCTGAGCTTCAAGTTCCCCATCTGTAGAGTGGAGACCCCTGGCCCTCTGAACAGAAGGGCTTCTTTGAAGCAAGACGGAAAAGATCTATAAGCTCGTCAGCACCATGCAGTCAGGAGGGGATATCAGGGCAGTTCTGAATCGTGGAAGGATTCAAACAGCTATCTGTGGCTTCGGGCTGCCTCCAAACCAAAGACTCGCAGCCATCTGGGTGGGGGTCCCAAGATCCAGCTCTGTGAAGGAGCTCTAGGTGCTCACAGTTGGTCCCTGGAAGTGTCAGGCCTTCCTCATGCTGAAATCCGTCACCGTCGCTCACTCAGTCGTTCAACAGGCTGATGCCTGTGCTGTTTGTGCTGCTGCCGGGCAGGCCAGGAACCTGTACGGGGTGAGCAGACTCCCTCGCCCAAGCCGAGGTCAGCAGACATCTGAGAGGGGTGGAGAGGGTGGACATGTCCGGCCTCAGGTTGAATTTGAGCCCAGACCAGGTTGGGGTCCCGAGTGTCACCCATCTGTTGGGCAAGTGCCTTGTTCCAGTGATGCCCGGGAGTTGGGTGGGTCCTGAGGCTTCAAGCCCCCCAATTTCATCCCTTGCCTGTCCGCCAAAGCTCGGCATGAGGGCCCGCCAATAAATCTGTTGTGAATGAACCCTCAGGCTTGTCTGGCTCATTCTTTGACCTTGAGATGCAGGGACATAGTGGGGCAGTCGGGGTGATAGATCTGTGGGCCGGCTTGATGGTGGTGCCGTTTTACAGGTCTGTACAATTTATAGGTCTGTCCCTGCTTCATATGTACAGCTCACTGTATACCAGTTGGATAAATAAGGCTATTTTTTAAAACCCTCCATAAGAGAAAAGCTCCACAAAAACTAGGCAAAAGGCTTGAACACCTGGGTGGTTTGGAAATGGTCCTTCCCCCAGAGGTCGACTGCTAGAGGTGTGATCCCGGGGTGGCAGGGCCAGAGTGGTGGTGCCCTTAAGAGGCGGGGCCTGGTAGAAGATGAGGTCATTATGGGCGTCTCCCTTGAAGGGCTTGATGCTGGTCTTGAGTGAGCTCCTGAGAGGGTAGATGGTTATAAAAAAAGCAGTAGCCAGATGCAGGGGCAGCGCCTGGAGCCCTAGTGCTGAGACAGAGGCAGGAGGATCCCTTGAGCTCCTAGGACCAGCCTGAGCAGCAGAGCGAGACCCTGTGTCGGAAGAAAGAGAGAGAGAAAAGGCTTGTGAGGAACGGGTCTTCCCATACCGTGGCCCTAGAGTGAGCCCGGGACACAGGCACCAAGCTCAGCCAGCGTGTGTTGAGTGAATCCACGTTAATCCTCACATTAAGGCTTGCATGCTGGCGTCCTCCCCCTTTGGAGTTGAAATCCCACCCTCAGTGTGATAGTGTTGGGACCTTTGGGAGGTGACGAGGGTGGTATGCCACAGTGGGATTAAGATTTCTGTAAAAAGAGAGCAGGGCTTTCTCTGCCCTGTGCCCAGTGTGGACACAGCAAGGAGGTGGCCATCTGCAAACCAGGAAGCCGGCCCTCGCCAGGCACAGGTCTGTTGTCTTGAGACGGTTGAACCTGATCATCGCAGCATTATTCAGAGTCACCAAAGTGGGGAGGGTAAGGGGGTATCCAGAAACCCCTTGGCACAGGTGAGGACGGGGGTTGGGATTGCAACTGGAGCTGGCTTTGGCTCAGGTGGCAGCTTGCGGAATGGGCTCTCTGTCTCCAGCGGGAATATTCTGGGACCTCACTCTCTGAGAGAACATATTGTACTGTAGTAGCCTCCCAGCCTATCCTGGGAAGGGGGCTGATTGGCAGGAGAGGCTGGCCGACCCGTGGAGGTGTGAGAACTCTGCAGGCAGGATCTCAAGGCGGGCTAACTTTAGCTGCAGGAGTCACTCTCAGTGGCCTCCTTGGTCTTGCATTGAGAGAAAGGTCCGTTTCATCCTTAAAAAAAAAAAAAATTGTGACAAGCCCAGCGAGATGGCACACGCCTGCAATCCCAGCAATTTGGGAGGGTAACACAGGAGTGTCACGATCAAAGCCGGCCTCAGCAATTTAGTGAAGCCCTGAGCAATTTAGCAAGACCCTGTCTCAAAAGAAAAAAATAACAAGGACTAGGGGTGTGGACCAGTGGTTAAGTGCCCCTAGGTCCAATCCCTGGTACCCCCCTCCAAAAAAATTGTGACAAAATGAGCCTGGGAATGTGGCTCGGTGGCAGAGCCCTTGACTAGCATGCAGGTTCTGGGTTCCATCTCCATCACCACACACAAAAACAAGAGAGGTGAAGTGCGTAGCATAGAATCTACCTCCTGTTGTCAACGGCTGCTGTCACCACTGTCCACCTCCAGAACTTGTTTTTTGTGAGCTGGGACGAACCCTGGAGCCTCTTGCAGGAAGGCACATGCGGTACCACTGAGCTACCTCCATCCCTCCAGCAATCTTTTCATCCTGCAAAACTGAAGCCCCGCACCCTTAAACACTAATTTTTCTGTTCTCCCCTCCCTTGGCCCCAGGCACCCACCATTCTACTTCCTGTGTCTATGGATACCATGACTTGATGTCTCCAGGGACCTCCTATGAGTCAAAGCAGAAGTGTTCACCTCTTATGCTTATCTGGCTTATCTCCCTTAGCAGAGTGCCCTCAAGGTTCCTTTCTATTGAAGCATGGGTCAGGCTCCTTCCTTTTGAAGGCTGAATAATATTCCATTGTGTAGAGGGACCATGATTCTTTGTCCATTGCTTTTCCACTGATAGACGCTTGGGTAGCCTCTATGCTTTAGCTATCTATTATGAATGGTGCTACAATGAACTTGGTTGGTGCAGGTTTCTGTACACTTATGTACTATTGGCTTACTGTACACTTTATGCCTAAAAGTAGGCATAGCCTTCTTTTAACATTTTTACTTTTTATTATTTTTAGTATTTATATTTTAGTTGTAGGTAGACACAATATCTTTATTTCATTTTTGTATGGTGCTGAGGATTGAATCCAGTGCCTCACGTGTACTAGGTCATTGAGTGCTCTATCATTGAGCCATAACCCCAACACCTATTTTATTATTTTTACTTTAAAAAATATTTTTTGAACCATGGATTGAACCCAGGAGTGCTTTATAACTGAGCCACATCCCCAACCCTTTTTATTTATTTTTTTTTTATTTTGAGACAGAGTCTTGCTAAGTTGCTTAGGATCTCACTAAGTTGCTGAGGCTGGTTTTGAACTCAGAATCCTCCTGCCTCAGCCTCCAAAGCCACTGGGATTTCAGGCTCATGTGCCACCATGCCTGGCTTTAAAACTTTTTATTAAACACTGAGACACAAACACAGGGCTGGGGATGTGGCTTGGGCTGGGGATGTGGCTCAAGCGGTAATGCTCTCGCCTGGCATGTGTGGGGCGCTGGGTTCGATCCTCAGCTCCATATAAAAAATAAAATAGATGTTGTGTCCACCGAAAACTGAAAAATAAAAATTTAAAAATTCTCTCTCTCTCTCTCTCTTAAAAAAAAAAAAAAGACACAAACACACACATGAGCCTAGGACGCCACAGGGCCAGGATCCACACTACCGCCACCTCCCCCACCCCACCTGCTGTCACCACAGGTCTGGGTGGGGGCACTACACGTGGAGCCGTATTCCCTGGTGCTTTTGGAGTCCCTCTGGAGGGGCCTGCCTGAGGCTGCCTTACATTACACTTTTTTTTTTTTAATAAGTAGGAGAACACTTCAAAATAAAATAAAATATAGTGCAGTAAATGTACAAACCAGTAACATCGTTGTTCACTATCATTAGCAGGTATGCTGCACTGTGCGTAATTGTATGTTATGCTTTTGCAAGTCTGGCAGCCTGGTAGGCTTGGTTACACCTGAGTCACCACAAGTGTGAGGAATGAGGAACAGCGGCCAGAGGTCACCAGGCAGTGGGAGTATCTCGGCTCCATTGTAACCCATGTCATGGCTCTCTGTAGACCTGGGGCCCACTGTAGACAGGAGGGCCGTTACTTGGAACATGGGGCAATTATATTTGTTAGAAGCAAATCGCAGGTCGCTACACCTAAGGGAAAGAATTATGCAGAGGTGAGAATGGGGCCCAGACCCACGGCAGCCAGCTTAGCTGCAGCCCACCACGTCTTGTGAGGGAATCCAAGCCAGGACTGCACCTGGAAAGTTCTACTGAGCCCTCCCAGCACGCCAAGCTCATAAGCAGGTCTTTTACATCTGCCTTGTGTTCCAGTGGGTCTATGACCCTCGTTCACAGAAGACAAGAATGAGCTCAGCGGTGAAGTCAGTCGGCACGGGTCAGATGTTGCTGACAGTGGGGCAGAATGACGTCCAGGCCCATCTGATTCCAATTCTAAAGCCCAGCTTCTTCCTTTACCCTCTCTTCTCCGAGAACAACGAGTTGAGCATCATCCCTGCTGCTGAGCCGACGTTCTTTTCCATCCACTGCGTTGTTCCCAGGCCGCCTTCCAGCAGTCACACAGACGTGGGCAGTTCTCCATGTGTTTACGGTGTGCTTTCTGGTTGGCACCTGCCTCCAGGCACCTGGGAAAAGTCCCAGGCCAATTACTGGAGGAAATGAACATCTAATGGAGCCCATGGAAGCCAGCAGAGAGGTCAAAGTCAAGTCACAAAGGTAGGATGTTGGCAGGCCTGAGCCTGAGTTCTGGTTTTGCTACTAACTGACTGTGAGCCTGGGTGAACCCCTCCTGGGCAAATGAAAACGTTGGGTTAGGTGAAGAGTAGATAAACATGGGCCATATCTGGCCGCCAGGGCTGGGGATGTGGCCTCCCAGTGGTGGAGGCCTGCCTGGCATGCACAAGGCACTGGGCTCCATCCTCAGCACTGGGAAAAAAAAATCTGGCCCCTCATCTGTGTTTTTAAATAAAGTTTTATTGGTATACAGCCATGATCGTTTGTTTACACGGTGTCTAAACCTGGTCTTTATGCTTACAACAGCAGGGTTGAGTCATTTCTATAGACCAAATGACCTGCACAACTGAAAATATGGACCAACTTTTTGAAAACACCTGCAACAACAACAACAACAAAAAAAAAAAACTTGACAACTCCTGGACCGGATGGGTTTCTCTCCCTCATGCTGGGAATGGAACCCAGACCCTTAAACATGTTCACATTCCACCACTGAGCTGCATCCCCAGCCCCACTGGATGATTTTTAAGATTCTTTCTGACTAAAAACTTGATGATCCATGGAAGAATGAACAGTGCTATTAACCAGGTAAAACCTAGGGAGCAGTTTGAAACTATAATGTGCAGATGGGCACCTCATCCTGCCTCAAGTGACCAGTAAACTCTGCAATAAAAACAGATCACCGTCAGTTGGTGCTGCTGTGATGGTTGATTTTATGTGTTAATTTTTTAAAGGCATTTTTTTAGTTGTTGATAGACCTTTATTTATTTATATGTGGTGCTGAGAATTGAACCCAGTGCCTCACACATTCCAGGCAAGTGCGCTGCTGCTGAGCCCCAGCCCCAGCCCCGTATGTGTTAATTTAACTGGGCTAAGGGACGCCCAGTTAGCTAGTAAGCCTTATTTCCAAGGGTGTCTGGGAGGGTGTTTGGGAAAGAGTAGCATTTCAGTCAGTACCTGAATGAGGAAGAGCCCCTCCCCTGGTGAGTGCATCCCTCAGTCCTTT